CGAAAGCTTCCCTCCCCAACGGCCCTGGCGTTCGTCCTGCGGTGGCCGATGAACAGGACAACAGGACGGAGGTGGGGGGCACTGCACACTGGGCACTGACCCTCTGCACGCCACCAGCGCTGGGCACGGCAGCCAGGGCACGGTAGTCCAGCTTCAGGGGCTGCAGACCCCGACCCTGGGGGCAGAGTGGACACAGCACTAGCAGGAGCAGCTCCATGGCGGCACCCGGCCAGCACAGGGCATGAGAGGGGGTCCTGGGGGTTACTACCCAGCACCCCACAGGCAATGTGCACCCTGCTCCAGTGCCCTGATGGGAGGGGGCGGGGCAACCACACTCACCGTGGCTTCTGTGGCCTCGGGCCCCCAGTGCAGGGTCTGTCCAGGCGGCTCCTTCTCCTGTGAGCAGAGCAGACCCGTCAGGCACCACCGGCCTCGGGCTCCCTGGCCCTGGGGCTGCCGGCTGCAGGCACCTCTGACCTTGCCTGGGCCCTCGGGGCTCAGCTCCCGGTCGATGGAAGAGATGCTCTCCAGGCTGTTCCGGTGGCTGATGCCCGTCGCAAAGGGGTTGGCAATGACACCTGGGGACACCTGAGAAGAGGGGTGTGGGCTGAGAAGTGAGGACTGCAGCCCGGGTCCCACCTCTGGGGCAGGATGGGGCCCCAGCCCAGAATAGCCAGCAACAGTGAACACAGGAGCTGCATCCCTCAGCAGGGCTGACCGCATGGCCGGGATAGCCTTGGAGGGCATTCTACTGGACCCCCCCCCCTCAGGATGCTGCAGTACTGTCCCCGGTCCGTCCCCATCACAGCTCACAGGGCTGCTGTGGACGTGGTCATGTCTGCATGCCTGCCACTTTGCTGACTATGTAAAGTCACCCCCAGGAAGAACTGACAGCCACCAAGATGGGGGAAGGAGGGGCGTGAGTAGTGGATGCTGGAACTGATGGCACAGAGTGGCCCCCTCAGGTGGAAAGGCTGGCTCCAGACCCCAGCGTGAGTGCTGGGCAGGGATTCTGAAACAAAGGACACCATGCAGGAGGCCTGGCCAGCTCTGCACTCTACAGAGCTCAATGACCTATCCCAAGCCAGTGACTGGCAGGGCGGAGGGGGAGTCTAGAAAGGAAAGGCGCCCAGGGAGCTCAGGCAGGGCAGAGGAGGGCCAAGGAGACAGGACCAGGACAGGCAGGGGCTTCTGGCTGGACACAAGATGTACTTGGATCCTGAGCCGGGGTTAACACGGGCAGACGGAACCATGGCAAGAGCTCACTTCCAAGCCCAAGGGGTGCAATGGGACTGCTTCAAGCCTCCACCGCCACCAGCAGCCAGAAGAGGCAGCACGGTGGAGACAGGCCTCGTTCATCACGCTCATCGTGGACGGGGTCCCTGCGAAATCAAGGCGCTCTCAATGTGGCCTGAAGGACAAACCCAGCCCTATGCTGTTGCTGGTTAAAAACACAACTGAAATGGTAAGGGGGAGGCAAAGAGAGGGCAGGCAAACACACGGGAGGCACAGAGAGGGGTTGCTCAGGCCAGGGGAGACAGGATGTGAGGTCACAGCTGTCAAGCAGGCAGAGGGATGCTGTCACCACAGAAGATGCTATTTACAATGGTGATACAATCATCATCAACTGTAAGCGCTCAACAAGGAAGCAGCTAAACACAGAAAGCACACTAGTAGAAACACGAGAGCATCATAAAAGCACAGTTATACAGGGAGACTTAACTATGTCTTTCAGGCTCTCACAGAACTAGGAGGACAAACAACAAACAAGGTGCCTGTCTTCTCAGTTTCTGAAATAACTTAAGTCAAAAAGCCACTGGACAGGTCCAAGAGAGGCAGTGGGGCTGGCAGAGTGGGAAGCAAGGTCACAGGCAGCCCGGCCTCTCTTGTCAGAGAGAGCTGCTCAAACACAGAAAAGGCAGACCAGGGTGCTGACTCTGACAGCCACGGGTGAGCTCATCCTCTTCTATCATTCCAGGAATAACCTCGGGAATGCCTGGCATGCCCCCTTACCCCCTAGTTCTGGCCCCCGGGAGGTCCTGAGACGATGCCCCAAGAACGCTAGGTCCAGGGCCACAGCGCAGCTTCTAAGTGTCACTCTCCACTAAAAGGATCCAGCGCTCCTGAGAGAAATGGCCGACTCTAGAGCTGGGCAGGGCAAGGAGAGAAGCCCAGCACATCCTGGAGGCTGGAGGCAGAAGGTGAGGAGGTGCTGAGGGGGGAGGTTGTATCAGAATGACTCAGGTCCTCAAGCCCCTTCTGTGGGCCAAGTCTGGGACAATTTAAGCATCAAAATAAATTATGATGGTAAACAGCTGTTGCCCATGAAATAAAATGGAAGCTCACTTGTTAATGAAATGGGCTCCCCCGTGAGCTCACGTGAACAGGTAAGCAGACACACGTAAACTGGGAGAAAGGGAAAGCTCGGTGGCAGGAAGCTGCCTGATGAGCGTGGGAGTGGTGGGTTAGGACTGTTGCCAACCACCTCGGGGCCTGCTCAGAACCATCAAGGTGCTGAGGCTCACAGGTGAAACTGGATGAGAAACAGCCTGTTATGTGCTCTGAAAGTACCTCCCACACTTGCTGATTTCAAGGGGCAGGAGTAACTGCAGGGGGAAACCTGGCTGACCTCGTGGTTCAGAGCATCAGAGTGAGCCCTGGTGGGAGGCACAGAGACACATGGTAGCTCTGTGATAATCCCGGCCAAGATGCACACGCTGAAGCCTGTGAGGGCATCAGACCCAGCGTGGGGGCAATCACCGCTGGAAGCAGGGAGAGCCTATGCCCACCAGAAGCGTCAAGGTCAGAGGAATCAGCAGAGACAGGCGCACTCCACCTGAAGGAGACTAGAGGGAGGCTCCCGCAACGGAGCGCATCCTGCGCGGTGGCTGAGTCATGAATAGGGCTGAGTGTCACAGGTTCTTTGTCCTGTTTTTGCAACTTTTCTCTAAGTTTAAAATTCATTTATGTATGTGCTTATATTTTTCAGAAAGAAATGGCAGAATAAACCAAAATGAATAAAGATGGTGGCCTCGGAACAGAGATGGAGGCTGGTCTTCTGAAGTGACTCTATATAATTTAAGCTTTGGAACCATGTGAATATTTACACAATTAAGAAATAGATTTTTTGTGGTGGCAGACGCCTGTAATCCCAGCTACTTGGGAGGCTGAGGCAGGAGAATTGCTTGAACTCGGGAGGTGGAGGTTGCAATGAGCCGAGATCATGCCACTGCACTCCAGCCTGGGCGACAGAGCAAGACTCCGTCTCAAAAAAAAAAAAAAAAAAAGATTTTAAAAAAGTCACCCTAAAAGCTGAAAGGAATCAGCCCAACTGTGTATCAAGTTGGTAGCAAAACCACAGAATGATCTCAAGTGGCTGAGAACACAGGATGCGGACTGCACGTCCCAGCAGGGTGAACCGTCAGGAAGCAGCCGCCAGGAACTCAGCCCCTCTCCACGCTCCTGCTCTCAGTCCTGCCACTGGTGTTGCTGCTTTTGTTTTTAAGAGTCTGTCTTGCCCAGTCTGGACTCAAATTCCTGGGTTCAAGTGACACTCCTGTTTCAGCCTCCTGAGTAGCTGGGACTACAGGCACATGCCACCACACTCAGCTGATTCTGAAATTAAGGAAAGATTTCATGAGAAAAAGTAGAAAATCAAAAAGTTAGTAAAAACCCTGTAATCTTAAATGAGTTAAATATAACAGTACAGACAACAGTACAGACTCATGACTTTTTCTCTTTCTAAAAACATCCACCTCTCAGTCTCCATCTGCTGCAGAGGCCACAGGCGGTGCCCGAGTCCTGAGCACACCCGGCCCACGGCTAGCAGCCCAACACCCGGCTCCCACCCAACACCCGGCAGCCCAACACCCGGCAGCCCAACACCCGGCTCCCAACACCCGGCTCCCAACCAGAGGGCCCAGGTCCCACGGCTAGCAGCCCAACACCCGGCTCACACCCAGCTCCCAACCAGAGGAGCCAGGTCCCACGGCTAGCAGCCCAACACCCGGCTCCCAACCAGAGAGCCCAGGTCCCACGGCTAGCAGCCCAACACCCAGCTCCCACAGAGAGGGCCCAGGTCCCACGGCTAGCAGCCCAACACCCAGCTCCCAACCAGAGGGGCCAGGTCCCACGGCTAGCAGCCCAACACTCAGCTCCCAACCAGAGGGGCCAGGTCCCACGGCTAGCAGCCCAACACCCAGCTCCCAACCAGAGGGGCCAGGTCCCACGGCTAGGAGCTCTACACCCAGCTCCCGCCAAGAGGGGCGAGGTCCCACACAAAAATGGCGGAATCCAGGGCTGGGACAGGCGATACAAAGCATGCCTTGTCAAAGCAGCTGAGGAATGACAGGGTCATGCCACAGGGATGCAGGGCCTCGTTGCCTGATCAAGGGACATCAAGGGAACACTATGTTGAAACCCATCAGGAAAACAAAGACTCATGAGTTCACGAAAACCCTAAAAACAGAAAGACACCTCAGGAACCACCTTTGGAAGATTCCAGGGCCCCAGCCTGTTATTCTAAAAACTGACAAAGGGAAGAACCAAGCATTTGATCTTCCTAGGTCTTTCCTGCAGGAGCTCACATCACGACAGAAACAGAGCTAGTGATCTCTTCTTTATAGACAGATCTGCAGAAACGTTAAAAGCCGGAGATGCAGTGGGAAAGACTGAAGGATTCTTCCTGAGAGCGGAAATCAAGGAAATGCCAACAGAAAGGGCAGTCTCTTCTGAAGTTTTATTTGTAATGGTGATGACGACAAGGGAGAGGTGGTCCTGATCAGTATTCAGAAGCTGGCTCTGAAAAGGCCATCAACACACAGGACCCTGGTCAGCATGACCAGGAGGAAGAGGACACGGACAGCAGGGCCGAGAGGGAGGTGACTGCAAAGGAGGGGCCCAGTGGGAGAGGACTTGCATCCTCATGCCGAACACGCGGGGTAGCGGGCAAGTCCTCTCAGACAGCGCACAGCCACCGAGGTTTGCGCAGGGGTCTTGGCGCCGACCATGGCGAGGCAGGTCTTTACTGAATCAATCCTCTCGACCCCGAGAAGCAGGCACTGTGGGTGACCCATTGTACAGACGAGGAGACTGAGGAGTAAAGTCAAGCGCCCACCCAAGGCCCGACAGCAAGTGAGGGCCAGGCATAGAGGAACTATGCATGACCCCCAAAAATGCACAGTACTAGAATGCAGGAGACTTAAGCTCTGACAAACAAACATGGGCCACTGCTCCAGAGTGCTGGGGACGTGCAGGCACTCCTGAGCCAATGCTAAGAGGGGCTTGCATAGTGAGAAGAAAGTTACGGAACTCAACGGGCAAACCGATGCCCGCAGGGCCAGGCGGACACACACAGATGAGTCCAGTGGCCTAAGAAAAATGGGGCAGGGTCACCAATTGAAGCCCCCCCACGCCCATGCTCTGGAGTCAGAAACAGAAGGTCCCGTGGGAGCACAGGCCTGGCCGCGCCACGGCTGCCGAGCTTTTTGTGGGAAGCCAAGAAGCTAGACATGGCGTGGACTCCTGATGTGTGAAACCCGCTCCTCTCTCTCAAGCCCCAAGCCTGCTGATGAAACCTCCATGGGCCAAACCAACCCTACTTAGCAGATAAGAGGACTTCAGAAAACTCAACACCCGCTTCAGATAACAATTCTTACAGGTTATAAATAGAAATAGCACCCCCCCAATCAATTTAAAAAACGTTGTAAGAGTCTACAGCAAATGTCACACTCTAAGATGAAAGTCCCTTAGAGCAAGCCCCCACCTCCACAGGACCAGGGGCTCTGCAGGAGGGGAAAGAGGAGAGGCCCAAGGTGGGAAGGGTGACCGGGCTTCTGCCAAGAGGTGAAGCAGACTTATAAATCCAGGTGAGGATTGATGAGAATTACCACGAAAGCAAGAGCCACCTGGAGACGCCCTGGAGAAAAACTCAACATAAAGATAAGCCCAAGGCTGGGCGCAGGGCTCATCCCTGGAACCCCAGCACTTTGGGGGGTCAGGTAGGCAGGTCACTTGAGCCCAGGAGTTCAAGACCAGCCTAGGTAACATGGCAAAAGCCCGTCTCTACAGAAAACAATGAGCCAGGTGTGGTGGTGCGGCTGTAGTCCCAGCTACTTGGGAAGCTGAGGAGGGAGGATCGCTTGAGCCCGGCAGGTTGAGCCTGCAGTGAGCAGCGACTGCGCCACTACTCCAGCCTGGGTGACAGAGTGAGACCCTTTCTCAAAATGTGTATATACATACATGTATGTGAAATCCTAGAATTCCAGTCGGTTTTTGCACGGAACTCGGCAGGTTCATTTGTAAGAGAAAACACATGACCATAGAAACTTTTCAAGACAAGAAAAAGGAATCGGTGACTTTGCCGATGAGGATTAGGTATGAGACCTGCTACAAAGTGAGGCATTTAAACGCGTGGCCCAGAAGCAGCTCACAACTCCCTGGGACCACGTCCAGAAACAGAGCTTGGAGCCCACAGGAACTGAACACAATGAGGCCACATTTCCCCCAAACCACTGGGGAAGCGACAGACTATTCAATCAATACTGCGGGGACAGCTACGCATCCAGTTACTTGCAAAGCAATTCCAGGGCTGGGCGTGGGGACATGGCTTGAGCACGGGAGGCGGAAGCTGCAGTGAGCTGTGATTGTGCCACCACACTCCAGCCTAGGTGACAAGCGAGACCTCGCCAAAGCAATTCCAGGTGAACCACGGAGCTGTATGTTGTTTAAACTTCAGAAATACTAGAAGAAAACGGGACAATGTTTTTGTAATCTTGCAGTAGGGAAGATCTTCTCAAGGAAAAAACCAGAATCCGGAAATCATAAAGGAGTCGTAAGACTTAATTTAAAAATTGAGATTTTTGTAACTCAAAAGATCCCATTTTTTAAAGAAAAACATAAGCAAGAGCTGGAAAAAAACACATCTGTACCCACAGAACCAAGATGAGTAACCAGGGCGCTGGACGGGAGCCAGGGCAACAACAGAGGGCAAGGGCAGTGCTGGGGCGGACGACGAGCCCCTGGGAAGACGGACGGACGCGGGAAAGAGGCAGCCGTGATGGGGAAGGGGAGCTGGACGCAGCTCTCAGCCCCACTGCTCGGGGCCCCTGGCCTGCCCAACACAGCAGAAACAGTATCTGCCCCCAACACCAGGGAGGGTGTGGTGCCTCCGTCCGTCGCGGGCCAGAGTGTGAGATCTGAGACCCCTGCCCCTCTGGTGTGTCACGGCAGGCTCGTGGGGGACCCGGCCAGATGCAAGGAAACCGGTGGCGACAGCAGCGCCGCACGTGGACGCATGCCGGCTACAGACACAGCGCTAGCCCTGCCTTCTGCATACCTCACTCTTCCCCAAGGGAGCGCGTGCTCTCTCTTTCTCTAACAAAAACTTCATGAGTAAATGTATCAAATAAAACATGTTTAGACATCTACTTAAAATAAGTAAATACAAGGCAAGGCCCTTTCTGAGAACCAGATGGTTCAGGGCTTGAGTCCTCAGATAAATCCTTCCCCAGAAACCACCAGGACTCCCTCAAGGACAGGAGGGGAGGTGGGTGAGGGCCGGTCCGGGGCCAGCCCCAAGCTCGCCCCAAGCCCGCCCCAAGCCCGCCCCAAGCCCAACGTCCAGCTGTGGAGTGAAAACTACGAATGCACTTCCTACCAGGGGCCCCCACGCTGGCTGTGGGTCAGGACACACTCCGTGGCTGTCAGCCTAAAGCCACCATCCCAGAGATTCCTTGCAAGACAGAACCATGTGAGGGGCTGCCCCATCCCAGAGGCTGTTACGGAGAGGAAGCCATGTGTGCTGGCGGGGAGAGGTGACAGTCACCTGCCCCCTGTGGACCTGTGTGACCAGCAGGGATACCCTTTGGGAGGAGCAGGTGGCCCCTCCAGGTGAAGACACATGCCCCCGCCCAGGCATCCACCCAGCTTCAGCTATGGGTGCCGGCCCTCCCAGGACCCACCCTCTTGCGGCCCTGCAGCCCACTCCGGTGGGAAGCCAGCCTGCACACCCTGGCACCGGTGAAGAGCCCTTGGAAGCTGCTGAGGCCTGCTGCAGACCCCCTGGGATGGCATGGGGAAGACGACGGGAGGGAGATGGGAGCCCCTGACAGAGGCCAGGCTTTTCCAGGACTCGGGCCGTGCTGCTAGGGAGGACTCCGGGCCCCACCTCACATCCCAACTCCCAGTCTGGGCTTCTGCTCTGGAGTCCAGGAAGTGACGGACCAGCCGTTGGGCAGGAGATCTTGGGGAGGGAGCTCTCTGTTGAAGGGTCACCAGAGGGGCTCGCTGGAGTCAGGCATGGCCCAAGGACGGGCTGAGAGGACAAAGGTGCCACTGGACACAGGAGCGGGGACCCTCAGACTCCCGAGGAGTCTGCCTGGCTGGTGGGCTCTGGGCAGGGCTCGGAGACATCCCTTAGCAGCCTGGTGGGACTCTGCAGGAGTCACCGGTGGCTCAGCTGCTTTTAGGACCAGACCACATAGTGTGCCCCAAACTCATGCCCCTCCCCCCATCCGTTCGCATGCCTCATCCTACTTGGACTGGGCCTCCGGACAGCTTGATTAGCCAGAGCTCAGCAGGAAGGAAAGGAGGGCCCTACCTCCAGCTCCCTACCCCTCACGGCTGATGCAGAGCCGCAGAGCACCTCCCAGACCCAGGGGCACAGAGGACCCGTTGCCCGCCCCGAGAGGTGTCAGCGGTTCACACCACCTTGAGCTGGGCCAGAGGGAGGCCTGGTTCCCAGGGCGGGATGGCTAACCTCCAGGGCTGCCGAGGAGCCGGCATCGAAGCCGTCGCAGACCAGCACGGTGAGCGTGTCGCCCACGCCACGCAGCAGCTGCACCGCCTCACCGTGCGTCAGGCCCAGCAGGCTCTGCTGGTTCACCTCCAGCAGCCGCAAACCCACACGCAGCCGACCGTCACGCCCAGCCGCCCCTGTGGGGCTCACCTGTGGGGAGATGTGGAATGGGAGAGGCCTGTTGGGGGTGGGGCCCAGGGCGGGCTGGGGGGGGGGTGGCTCACCTTGGAGATGAAGATGCCCTCATCTGTGGGGTCGCGGGGGTTGCCGGCGTGGCCCCTGGCACCCCCGCGGATGCTGATGCCCAGCCTCTCCCCGGGCGCTTTCTGGATGCACAGCTCCCGTAGGCCCGGGGGCGCCGGGTCCCTCCGCACCAGCAGCGACAGCTCCAGGCAGGGCCGGAGCAGGGCGCTGACTGCCTCTTGGTGCGTGGCGTCCCGCATGTCTTGCCCGTTCACTGCCAGGATGCGGTCCCCAACCCTTAGGCCGCTGCGAGCGGCCAGGCCCCGCGGGAGCACCTGTCAGGGAGAAGGGTGGCAGCTGGTGGCTGAGGCCACGCTGACCTGCGCTGGTACCTGGGATGAGTACGCCTCTCACAGAACCGCCCGGATGGGCTGCCCTACCTTGGAGATGAATACACCAGGCTCCTGGACACCAAACGGGTGGCTGGAATGGTCGGAGCCTCCGACAATGCTAAGCCCCAGAGGGCCCCCAGCTCTTGGCAGACGGATCTCCTGGGGATACGGGGCGGGACAAGGACAGGCCTCAGTCAGGACAGGGAAAGGGTGTGAGAGAGCTCCCAAGAGTCCATCCTGGTCCGTGGGGACGGTGGGCGGGGGCTGCCCTGATGTGCCCACGGGGGTTTCTGCGCCACCAGTGTTCTGCTGCCCAGGCAGGCACACAGCATGAGGACAACATCTTTGCTGACTGTGGCCATGCAGCTGGCCGGGAGACTGTGTCAAGGGGACCACACTGAGGAATCTGGCTGTGGGGCAGAGCCCCCGCCTCGAGGGGCTGCAGGGGAAAGGGCGAGCAGGCCGGCTTCCCACCCAGAGAAGACTGCAGGGACGCAAGAGGGCAGGTCCTGGGAGGGCCAGTGCCCACGGCTGAAGCTGGGTGGGTGCCTGGGTGGGGGCTTGTGTCTCACCTCCACTGGGTATGGCCCTTCCAAGGTGGCGGCCAGCAGGCTGGGGGCCAGGCTTGGCAACCCAGGCTCCCCGGGGGTGGCAGTGGTTATGCTGGTGGTGGTGGTGCTGGTGATGGCAACAGCAGCGGTGGCGAGTGAAGAGGAATGTGGCGGAGGACTGGGAGGAAGAGGGCCCCCAGCCTCCCGCTCCAACAGCAAGGCGATGGTGGGGGAGGCCGCAGTCAGCAGGGAGACGGCGTGGTCATGCCTGGCCTCAGTCACGTCCACTCCATTAATCTGTGGGAGCATGCCCGAATCAGGGAGGCCCAAGGGTAGGATGGGACAGAGGGCGCAGGGCAGGGCAGGGGGCATGGGTGGGCAGGGTGGGGCCCTATCCCCACTCACAGAGAGGACACGGTCGCCAACCTGCAGTGTACCCGCACGGTGAGCAGCACCGCCCTCGGCAATGCGGGAGATGAAGATGCCCTGCAGGGGAGCGTGAAGGAGGAAGGGCTGCTGGTGAGGCTGGGGTGCGGCTGCCAGCTCTGGAGCAGCCCTCCCTGGCCCTGAGCCCTGGCCTCACCGCATCACCAGCCCGGTATGGCGTGGAGCCTTTCCCGCCAGCAATGCTGAAGCCCAGCCCCCTCTCACTGCGTGCCAGGCAGGCCACGTGGCGCTGACGGAGGGGCCCAGGGCTCTCAGCTGGGAGCAGGGGCAGGCGCAGCCCCCCTCCCCGCCGCTCCCGGGGGCTGTAGTCGTCCTCAGGTCGCAGAGGTGTGATGGTGACCGCGTTCTCAGGCTCCACCATGCGCTCCCGCCACACTCGCATCTGCACGGCAGTGCCTGCCCCCCTGAGCGCCTCCACGGCCTCATGGTGCTCGGCGCCCTGCAGAGCCACGCCATTCACCTGCGGGCCAGAGGCCACGTGCATGTCAGGACCCAGTGCAGCCACCTACAGCCACACGCTGGGGGCTGCAGATGCTCCCTTCAGGATGGGGAGACTGAAGCACAGGGCAAGGGGAAAGGCCCCAGGCTCTGACACGCTAGACCTTCACCCACAAGGTTCCTCGTGGGCACCACTGACCCCTGCCCTACCAGGTCCTCAGAAACCCGGTGTGGGCAGCCCAAGGGCCAGGACACAGATTGGCCACGGGAGGCAGGCAGATGTCCCCACGGCCAGGACACACATGGCCCTGCTCCTGGATACCTCCTGCCCATCTGAGCAGTCCCACATACACCTGAGATCGCTGGGTTACCGACCCACACCCCACCCCAACACCCAGCAACAGGAGTTCCCATGCAAAGGTTAGGAGAAGAGCTGAGCAGCAGATGCAGCATCTGAGCCCTGGGCAGACGCCTCCTGGCTGGGCTCCAGGGCCCTCGCCTGTCCTCAGTGTGTCCCTACAAGAAGGGCGCACACCTCTCTAGAGCCCCCTGATGCCCATGCCCAGGCTGGACAGCCAGGTGCCCAGGTGGGGACTCCAGGGCTCCCATACGGGGTCCAAACCCCACCAGACCTGCCAGCAGCCTGACCCCTCTCGGTCAGCCCAGGAGCGGCCCCTCCTGTGAAGGCCACTGTGCCCAGTGCAGCTGCTGCCCTACCCACTGGTAGAAAAACACACCTGTACCCAAAGAACAAAGATGAGCAACCAGGGCACTAGATGGGAGCCAGGGTGACAATGGAGGGCCCAGGTGGCTCCTACCCAGGTGACTCTCTCCTGGGGTTTACAGGTTCTGTGGCTTCACCCAGAAGTCTTGGTGTCCTGTGCTTGGAACTCTTGGGGAGGCTGGGAGAAGACAGCCAAGCACACTAATACCAGGGACTGTGTACCTCCAGAGGGCACAGCTGCCACTCGGGGCTGAGAGGTTCCCGACTCACCTCCAAGAGCTTGTCACCCACGCGGACTCCAGCCCGGGCCGCAGGGCCTTCCTCGGACACCCGAGAGATGAATATGCCCTAGGGCACAGACATGAGCTTGGCAGGAGCCAGGGAGAGGGGCCCGTGGTCCTGCCCCTCCTGCAGAAGACCCAGGAGGGGAAGACCCACTCCCAGCAGCCCCTAGCCCTGGCCAGCAGGAGGACTGCGCTCCGGCCACTGTGGGATCCTGAGTGCCAGGGAAGGAGCAGGTCAACCCCGAGAAAGGGCTCGTGGCCCCAAGCCTGGTACACAGGCACCTGGTGAGAGAAGAGGGGCTGCGAAGGGAGGACAGACCCAGGCACTTTCAGGTTGCCCTTGGACTCTGGGATCCCATGACAGTTGGTGCCTTGGGCCCAGCCCGTGTCCGCGGAGTGAGTGAGTGTTCTCAGGGCAAGGGGCCTGTGTGCCACTGGTGTGAACTACGGTGGGGATGGGCCGGTGGCAGTGCAAAGGCCCTCCTGGGCAGTGCTCACCTCGTCATCCCCCTTATAGGGTGTGGAGCCCTTGCCGCCGGCAATGCTGATGCCCAGGCCCCCAGTCTGCCGCAGGATGGTGAGGGTCAGCTGGAAACAGAACAAACGGGGTGTCCAGGAAGGGCCGCAGTGCGGCTGCCTATGCTCTCTGCAGGAGAACCCACCAGCGTGCAGACGCTATTTCCAGCTTTTCCCTGGGCAGCTGAATGGGGCCTCATACCACTCACCAGCCAGGGCCAGCACAGATGCCAGCTGGAGAAGCCCCAAGACCCCAGCAGGAGGGCACTGCTCTGCAGAGCGTGGTGGGCTGGGGCTTGCCCACCTCTGGGTGATGGAGGCCCGAGGCCCCCCGCCACCCTCCAGAGGGTGAGGGTTGCACTGCCTCTGCAGGCAGGTAAGGCTCAGAGTGCCACAGGCGGCTGACGGGAGTCAGACCAGCCTCTCCGCTTGCCCCTGCCAAGACAGGCTGCCCCAGGCAGGAGGTGTCCTGATCCTGGAGCCCAGCTCGATCTGAGAGCTCTTTTGGGAGGGATCTGCGCTCAAGCAACAGGGGCGGGGAGAGGCGTGAGCCCCAGCCCGGGAAGCAAGGCCAGCGGCGGCCCGGCCAGAGTGCAGAGTGAGCGGTACAGACCGAGCCTCAGCCCGGGAAGCGAGGCCAGCGGCGGCCCGGCCAGAGCGCAGAGCGAGCGGTACAGACCTCTTCCTCCTCAATGCGAGCAGGCTCTATCAGCAGGTTATTGGCCTGGTCAAACGACACCCCCTGTTAGGACAGGACCAGCGAGGCATGCAGGTTAGCCACCGCCAAGACCGCCACCACCGCCTCACCCAGCCCCCGCCACGAGCAGAAAGGACAGAGGAGACCACACCAAGCTCCCTCGACTGCCCTGGCACGGGCGCCTCCATCCTGGAAACATGAGTGACACCGCACACCTGGGGACAAGCAGGGCTCGCCAGGGGCTCCAGAGCTGAGCCGAGCCCCACCCGGCTGTCCCTGCTGTGGCCCCTCCAGGCCCCCTCGGCTATTATGCCATTGGCCCACACTCAGGGTCGGGGTGTCATCAAGGGCAAGGGGAGTGGGACCCAGGGACTCCCCCTGGCATCTGAGTTTGCCCAGACAGCAGGTGAGATCCTTTGTGAGCCATGGAGGAGACTTGAGGGCCAGGGAGGGACACACTGGTGCCCCAAAGGCCCGTGTGGCACCTCAGGAGGGCCCGACAAGGCAGAACAGAGCCGTCAGGGCCTCAGGCCTGCAGCCAGTGCCTAACGCAGGGAGGACCCCAGGAGAGCCCAGGGATCTTGGGAGACGAACAGACCCTGCCCTTGGACCACTACATGTGCAGACAGGTCCTGGAGGCCCACAAAGGGTGGGCAGCCACGCTTGTTTTCTGTGAACTCTGTGCCCGCCAGCAGGTCGGGCAAATACTGGCCAGCGGAGCAGCCTCTGGCACTGAAACCAACACCAGGGCAGGCCTGGGCCCCAAGCACGGACTGAGACCAACGCCAGGGCAGGCCTGGGCCCCAAGCACGGACTGAGACCAACACCAGGGCAGGCCTGGGCCCCAAGCACGGACTGAGACCAACGCCAGGGCAGGCCTGGGCCCCAAGCACGGACTGAGACCAACGCCAGGGCAGGCCTGGGCCCCAAGCACGGACTGAGACCAACGCCAGGGCAGGCCTGGGGTCTGGTGAGAGTGGCCGCGATGCCGACTCTCACAACATGTCCACCATCCTCTCCGGGTGGCCAGGGGCCAGTGGGTCAGTCCTCAGTCCTGCCCCTACCGCAGCCCTGGGTGCCCAGGAGGGCCAGGGGAATTTGGGTCAGGCAGGGGTGAGGCTGACACCCACCTTGACAGAGGGCGCAGAAGCCACGGCCCCCTCCTTGTCCTCCTCCTCAGTGCTGGCCTCCTCTTCAGCCCTGCTTTCCTCCTCTTCCTCCTCCTCCTCCTCCCGAGGACTACCCTCTTCCTCCTCCTCCTCCTCCTCCTCCTTCTGGGCCCGAGGAGCCCAGGGTGCGTGGGGGCCATTGTGCCAGCCCCCGGGAGCCACAGGGCCCTCCCCATCGGGCTGCATGCCCTGCAGCAGGGCCACAACGGCCTCCGGCTGGGGCAGCTTGGAGATCTTGAAGTGCTTTTTGTAGTGAGGCGTGTCCTTGCGGATGAGCCGCTGCCTCCCGCCCGGCAGGGTCCAGGGGGCCTCAGGCTGCCCCTCCTCGCTCTCCCGGTCATCCCCGGGCAGCAGTGCGTCCTCCGCAAAATGCACTGCAGGCTGTGCAGACACAAGGGTGAGGGTGGCCCCAGTTCTGGGGCTGTGCTTCCACAGGAAGGCCCTGCTAAGCAGTGTGGCCACAGACAAGGGCTCTGAAAGGCTCCCTGCCACACGAGGACTCAGCATTGACTGACCAGTGAGGGGCACGTGTCTCAGCCCTGAGAAAGGCAGAGGGCCAGGGGCTCATCCTGGAGACACACGGCGCCCCAGGTGGAAACGAAGGGGTGCACCAAGGCCTGACACCAGGGAGACCACAGGGATTCAGAAGGGAGTCCAGGGTGGAGGTAGGGTCTGTGAGCCCAGCTGTCAGGGCAGACCCTCACCCCACCTAGGGTGGCAGCTCTCCAGGGCACCCCCACAGCACGGCCCTGCACCACCCGCAGCCACTCTGTACAGGGCAGCTCCCCCAAGCATCAGCAGGGCCCAGCCACTGCCTGCACCAAAACCGACCCCAGCTGAGGCCCTGCAGGGGAGGCGGCGCCCACCCAGCAGGCCCAGCCCCCTGCCCCCTTCCTGCCAATCCATACCTCCTCATAGTCCTCTTCGGCGTCTTCCTCCCCACCAGCACTCGTGGCCTCCTGCTGGCTTCCACCCTGTGCCTCAGCCGATGGGCCCTCGGGCTCAGCCTCAGAGACTGTGCTGGCAGACGGGCGAGAGTCTTCACTCAGGCCAGACTCGGCACTCAGCCGCTTCTCCTGCGGCGGGAAGTGGGGTCAGGCTCCCGACTCACAGGCTGGCCACCTGGGATGCCCCTCATGTGGCAGTCCTTCCCTCAGCTTCCCACTGCCCTGACCAGGCACTGTTAATAGGCTCACACCATCACAACTGCTCCCTGGCCCAGCCTGCAAGGAAGCCACACGCCTCCAAAGCCTAGGGTGGGCAAAGCCATGGTTCCACAGCCCAGCCCCAATGAAAGCCTTTCCTAAACGAACAAGGACCAAACAAGTTCCCAGAAGTATCCCAGCCCGATGTGAGCCTCCTCCCCTCCCATGCGCGGCCCCACACACCCTACCCCAGCTCAGACGACTGGTTTGGCTGCACCCAGGAACCCACAGCACGCATGTCACAGCTGTGAGAGGAGAGTCAGGCCTGCTCTGTCCCAGCCCCAAACCCCTTCCCAGGTGCCGATGATACCCTAGCCGGTTCCACCAGAGGCCCTTCCCAACAACCAAACCCCATTTCCTGTGCTCCCAGGGAAACTCACCTCTGGCTCTCCCCGTACTCCAGCCCCACAGACCTGCCCTGCACAACCTGCATGTCCACCTTGGCACCCTTCACCCAGCTGGCCCTGCAGCTCCATGTCCCGAAATCCTGTCATCAGCCTCATCTCTTGTTCCTTCTCTGTGCTGCCCTGGCCCTTACAGCCCCACTCCCAGGACGGACTAGACCACCACAGCTCCACCACAGGTCGCCGTGGCTCCACGCCCACCTCCTCCGCAGGCAAGGGCGACCCAGGGTCTGGCTGGCAAGGGCAGGCCTCGCTCCGCCGCCCCTCGATGCTCCTCTTCATCACCTTGAGCTCGCTGGGGTGAGGTGTGGCCCGGCGCTGCAGGCCCTGCGGTGGGGACAGGGGTGAGCAGCAGCCACAGGGCAGGGGTCAGGCAAAGGTTCACCCCCTAGGTCCCCACCCTCATACCCGCTTCTCGGCTGCAGCTTCCTCAGCATCCTCATCACCTGTGGGGGCCTCCAGGAACTGGATGACGCTGACGCGGCTCGGGGGGGCATCACTCCAGCTCTCCGAGAGGCTCCCCTGCTGCCCAGCATCCTCTGCAGCAGGTGAGTGTCAGGACCCAGGCTGGTCCCCGAGCCCTGCCTGAGGGCCACCCCGTGCTAAACACCAGTTGCCAACAACCTACCGAGGCTGGATGGAGGCTGCTGGGGCAGCAAGTAGCAGGTGAGCACCTTCTCGCCAGTCCGGGCATCATCCTCCGTCTGGAACCGCAGCATGGGCTGCGCCTGGTTCTCCGCCAGCCACAGGGCCTTGAGGTTGAGGTGGGTGAGCGCGAACGGCAGACTCTGTAGCCTGCGGGCCAGGCAGGCAGTCAGCAGGCGTTGGGGCCACAGTCTGGCCTGCGGGGCAAGGCTGGCACTCACCGGTTCCCTGCCACGTCCAGCACGTGCAGCTCGGCCGTGTGGGCCAGCTCCGGCGGCAGGACGGCCAGGCGGTTGTCCCTCAAGGAGAGGACGCTGAGTGCCACGCAGCCCCCGATCTCGGGCGGCAGCGTCTCCAGGTGGTTCCGGTCCACGTTGAGGTTGGTCAGCTTCGTCAGCTTTCCCAGGGAGCGCGGCAGGGCCTGGCCGGGAAGAGGAGGTCAGAGGACGCTAGGGGCTTGCTAGGGGTGGGAAGGAGATGACAGCCCCTGGGGGGAGGGCACAGACACTCCAGGTCAGCTCCAGCCAGGGTCCCTCACAGCCCTTGGAGACCTGGACAGGGAGCCGACCACAGAGGCTGTCTCCACCCCACTCCATGCCTTCTGCTCCCCAAGCTCTGGCCATTGACCTCAACCTTCAGTCCCCACCACCAAAACATCCCACCAGAGTCATCCCTGGCCCTTTCCCATGGGTTCCCTGGACTACCTGCGAGGCTACACCCTGTGAGCCTGTCTGGTGCCTCACTGGTCTGCTCTGTCATCCCTAGGGCGCCCCAGGCCCCAGTTCCAGCCTGCTCAGGGCCAGCCCCTTCCTAGGGCCCTGAACCCCAGAATCCCTTTCTCCCTCTCCTCAATGAGAACGCCCCCATGGAAACTCCCATGAACACCCTACCCACAGCTAGCTCCTGTTTTCCAGCCTGGGGATGGCAGCACCATCGTCTGGAGCCCCGGCCCGGGGCCTCAGCTTGCCTTGCTTCGTGAGGGGCAGGGAGATGCCCCGGGGGAGCAGCCTGCTCCCCACCTGTCTTCCCTATAGGCAAATCAGTTCCTACCCCTGCCTCTTCTGCAATCACTCCCCAGTGTTACAACATGTGCCGGAAAAGACAAGACCTAGACTCTTCACAGTAAATGGCAAAGGGCCCTGCCCTGGGCTCGCTGCCCCGCCTCACTCTGGCCAGCATGCTCCCGCTCTGACAGAAGGGCCCTTCCCGAGTGGCTCCATGAGTCAGGCTGCCACCAGCACCCCCCAGCAGCGCACACAGGCTGATACCCCGCCCTTATTCCACACGCCCGACGGCCCCGCCCTTTCTGCCTCCCGAGCCGGAGCCTACCATCAGCAGGTTCTCCGTGAGGATCAGCTCTGAGAGGTTCTCACAGTCCCCGATGGCCTCGGTCACCTCACACAGCCGGTTCTGGTCTACCTTTAGGATGGACAGCTGCTTCAGCTGACCTGGCACCGGGGAGACAGGGTGACACGGCTGAGCACAGGCACCAGACGTGCCTTACCCACCTGGCTAAAGGCGCTCTCAAGGCAAACAGCGAGGCCCCCAGCCCCTCTTGCTGCCGCCATACTTCAGGAGGACCCTACCTACCTTGCCCCCACAGCCTCACCCAACCTCCTTTGAGAAAACACCAGGCCCCAGTGACGCTGCCCACCCTTCTGGCCTCACAGGCTCCACCGCCCCCTCCAGCACCACCAGCTGCCTCCTCAGCCTTCGGGGCTGCCCCAGGGTCCCACCTCCCCTCCCCTCCTCAGGCACAGCTCCCAGAGCCTGGGCAGACTCAAGATCCTCCTGTGTTCCATACCACACATGGCCCCGACGCCTCATGCTCCTCCCAGGGCCAGGCTCTGTGCGCCCCACCCGGGCACCCCCAGGCGCACTAACCGATGCCGTCGGGCAGCCGCCGCAGCAGGTTCTGGGACAGCAGCAGGTCAGTAAGCAGCACCAGCCCGCCGAGCTCAGCAGGCAGCTCCTCCAGCCGGTTTTCCGACACGTCCAGGCACACCAGACGCCGCAGGTTCCCAAGCTCCTGCAGGCAGGTGGGGAGTCAGAGTGCGGATGGGCGCGAAGCAGGGGGCCAGCCCCACCCTGACTCACCGGGGGCAGTGCTGACAGCTGGTTCCGGTCAAGCCACAGCTCCCGAAGATTAGGCAGAGCCCCCAGAGTGTCCGGCTGCAAGAAGGAACAGAGAGAATAGTGACTGTGGGGCAGGGCCTCCTGCTGTGCCATGCCCAGGAGACTACATGGCCCCATGCCCAGCTCCCCCCGCCTGCCCTCCTGATGTGCCCCTTGCTGTTGGATCTGCTCGCTGTCCCCCTTTCTTTGCCCTTGCTTCTCGTGGCCCGCCCTCCGGTCTCCGCCTTGTCAGGCCTCTGCGCACCAGCACTTCCAGGTCGTTGCCTCCCAGATCCAGCTGTTCCAGCTTGACCAGAAAAGACAGGGACCTGCAAAGAAAGCAAGGTGGGGGTGGGGCCATGCAGCCCTGGTCCCTAGGCTGTAGCCCTGCCCTGGCCGTTGGGAGAATGCCCGTCACACTCACGCTGGCAGGGACTTGAGCAGGTTCTCCCGGAGCTCCAGGGTCACCAGGTTGGCGAGGCTAAAAGAGAGACCAAGGGCTGAGGCACGAGGAAGGCAGGCAGCGGTGGCAGGGGCAGGGCCAATCCAAGCCCCCCATCCCACCCTGACTCCACGTGCGAGGGCACTCACTTGCCCACGTCCCCGGGCAGTGCCTGCAAGGACACATCATTGAGGGCCAGGTGAGCCAGGCTGCGCAGCTGAGTGAAGCCATCGGGGAGCCTGGATGGGAAGCAGCAGAAGCTGTCAGACAACCAGACCACGGCTGTGGGATCCATAGCCCCTACCAACCCCACCACAGGCTGCCACCCACCTGGAAAGGGGGTTCCCGCTGAAGTCCGCGATCTCCAGAGCTTTGCAGAACTTGATGCTCTCTGGGATCTCAGGGATATCTATTACAGAGGATCACAGTGGACAGATGCCATGGCCTGCAGGACGTCTGCAGCCCCAGCAGACACTCCCCAGACTCCACCCAGCCCCTGCCCAGGCTCCCCACCATTCCGGGACACGTCCAGCTCCACCAGCTGCATGAAGTTGGCCACCTCGGGAGGTAACCGCTGGATCTCGTTGTCGCTCAGGCCCAGCTTGCGCAAGTTCAGCAGCCGGAAAAAGGGCTGTGGGCAGGGAGGACACGGACTCTGTGGCAGAGGCCACTCCAGAGCAGAGAAGAGCTCCTGGACACGTGGGTATCACAAGCCAAGGGTTCCTAGGCCTCTGCCTGCTCCAGGTCACACAGGATCTTGGGGTCTAACCATGACACCCCGTTTGTGGCAAGAAAAGCAAAGAAACACACGGTGCACATGCCCACTGTGTCCACCTCCCTCCACTCTTCACACCAGCCTCTGCTCTAAGAAGGCACCTGCTGGTGACCAGACAAAACTCCAATCCCCTGCACTGTGTCTTATCTCGGCCTACCCAGGCCCCGAACCACTTCTGTCACCCTCCAGGGGCTCACACTGGTCTCTGCTACTGCATCCCAATAACAAACCTGGCGTGGTTCTGCAGTAAGAACTCAGCAAATGCTCCCCCCAAAAACGTTAACAAAAACAGCAAAGTACCACAGGCATGGTGCTATGTGCAAAGCCTGCAGGTGGCCACGGAGAACCGTGCTGTCACTGCCAGGGCCAGAACAGGGTCACATTCTTTGGGACACCCAACCCCTAGGTATTGGCCACTCAGCACCCCATCTCCAGAAAAGAGATACTTCTTAATCTGTGTTTCCACCTCCTTTCTTGGAGGAGCCTTAGGAGAGCAACTGACCATGAGAAGCAAGGACAAACAGAGAGGGACAGCGAGCAGATCCGAGTGCAAAGGCCACATCAGGAGGGCTCCCCCACTCACCCCTGCACCCAGGAAGAAAAGGAGAGGAGACCTGGACCCCATCTCCAGAACAGCCCAACAAGTAGTACTCATCAGTCACCTGAATCCAAGTTCCACCCTAATCCCATCGACCTCCCCGAATCCCTATGGTTTTCATTCTCAGGCTCCTCCTCCAGGCGCGGTGACAATCGCTATCCCCAGGCAAGCACCTGATGACCGCTGCCACCTGCGCCACCCAGGGCGGCTGGGAGAGGAGGGTGGGGCTGGCTGGGGTGGGGACCTGGCCAGTGCAAACCAGCAGGGCCGGCTGGAGG